GGTTGTGCTGCTGAGGTGGAGGTGACAGGAGGATTTGCAACGGTGGGACTGAGAAACCTCAGCCGCGCATCTGAAGACAGAAGAGGAGTATGTGACACCAGTCTAATAATAAACACATGATTTTAAGAATAAAATAAAATGAAATAATATAAATGAAAAACCTAGAGATACATGCATGATGTAGACTATACTGTATAATATACAATGTACTTTTTCTGATACAAATTATATAAGTAATTCATATATTAGTAACAATTTCAATTTTATTGTCATTACAGTGAAATGCTAATTAGCAGAATGCATTGCAAAGAATGAGTAAACTGCAGTATAATATACCATGTGGGAATGCTAAATTATGCTCTAACATTAATGATGTGCACTTTAACACTGTTAAGTTTAACATGATAAACGCACTTTAGACAGTATGAACTGTAACACAACAAACAGCTAGGCTTACAACTATGGAAAATGAAGAGCATTTTGATTGACTATTACAAGCTGAGAAAACGTCAGATAACCATGTCAATGCAATTAACGTTATAACACCTGCTGAATAGATCTAATATTTACACATTTGCCCGAGGAGGAATGATGGGGGTAGTTACATTACTATTTTCCATAACAACTAGGCCCTTCCATAACATTATCTGACGACGTTAACAGATAGATAGCGCTAGCTATTTATTGATTAGCAAACCATGTTGTTATGCTAATTGTTAATGGCGATTATGGCGTTATCAGTCATCGTTCGGAAACAGCAAAATAATATCATTGACATAATCTTTACCGTAACATTACCTCTGTCTTTGTCGAGTTTTTCCTCCTCTTCTTTTCTTTTTTTCCTCCCCTGGGCACCAGACAGTTTGGGACGTTTTGACATGTTGAGCTTGTTGACCCATCAAAAAACGACCACCGTGTAGCAGGTAAACGCAAGTAGGCTATATTATTATTATTACTACTACTACTACTACTTAGTAGGCTTTGCTGCTATGCAGTTAAATTAATGTGGTGGGCTTATTCTTTTCTGAAGTCTAGTTTTAAGAATAGTGGAAGTTACACTTTTTTTCTTCCTCCATTTCTGGCGCCCCCTGGATGTACGGCGCCCTTAGCATTTGCCCCAAACTGCCTATGCCACGGGCCGGCCCTGGTAAGTAAATATCTTTACCATGGTAACCAACACAGGAGCTAACTAATTAGGTCAGTAAGCAAAGTTAGCTACCTGTTAAGTTAGCGTTAGCTTAATAATGTCAACGCCAGCTAGCTAGCAACCAGCTTTAATAGCAGTCCAGCAAGATTCAACACACATTAGGCCTACTGTTGTGTTTAGTCTTGTTTTACAAATGCTCATGGTTAGGTAGGTTACCTGAATCAACCATGTCAACATTCATTTCATTTTTGTTGTTGTTTGTATGTAGCATTAGCTTTGCTTTGTTTGGTTGGGGCAGGTGTATGTTTCTGTTTAAAGCCACATAACAGCTAGGTAGTTTACACAGTGTAGAGTGTACAGTTTGGACAAAACAACACAGAACAGAGTTATAAGTATTCATATCATAGCTCATATCATTATATGCATTTGTACTTTAGCACTGAACACACTTAATTTCTTATTTAGGACAGATGCATTTACAGTACTTGCCCTATAATTTATATTTTTGTTGGGAAATTTGCTCTGATACCATTAGTTCACAACTGTTGCCTGTGTTGTCAGGGATAGTTTACTCTATTTTTTTAATGTTCATATGTGAAGGAAATGGGAGCAGCTTTTTGGCAGAGACTTTGAAAGGCCAACTCAGTAAATGATAACGGTAGTAAAACTTCACTAAACATACATGTAACAACAAAAATGAACTAATGTTGGCAGAGGTGAATCAGGTAACTTAAATTTATGAATTCAAATTCTATTTTTAAATCTATTCACAGATGCTGTGTGTTTTCTAAGTAGCTAGGAAGGACACGGGTATACTAAACCAGTGTGTTGGCATTGGTTTATGCTCTTCCCGAAAGAAAACCATCACATCTAGACGATGCTGGACATACTTGAGGAACATTCTTCTGAAATGGTGAGTAAATAAAGTTTAATTATATTTTATGTGTGCACTTAATGACCACTGTGTTGTAGCTGGTGTCGTGCTAATGATGAAAGCATGCACAGCTAACATAGTCGTTGCAGTGGTTTTAGCCAACCGGCTAAACATTGGTATTTACCATTAAGAAGAGACAAAGGAGAGATTGGAGAAACAGTCATGCAAAGTGATAGTTATTGTGGTACAGACACCATTAACTGAGATTTATCAGAGTTTAAGATTTATGTTTTATTTAGATTTAGGATTTGCATTTGATAAGAGAAATACTGTTTACATTTGAAGCAACTATGAAGAGAGCTTTCTGTTGTTGGCACTGTACTGTGTGAGACACACAGCAGTGCAATCCAGCTTTCAGTTTTTGCACAGCCTGAGGGGTTTGGTAAAGACTTTCTACAACCAGGTAGTCCAATAATAAATTTGTCAGCTATTCCATAAATACAAACAACAGAAACTGGTAATTCACAGCACTGAGTTTTTGATCAAAATCAGATAAATGCTTGGCAAACCATAATTTGTGTTTTTGGCATGCAGAAAATTGAGCAACATCTGTGTGATTCTTTTGAGCTAATTCCCAGTTTAGAGCTCAATGTGATATTGGCTGCATCACACATTATGCACCAGATATTCTAAACAAAGTGTTGACAGGTTTTTACATGGAAGATTCATATAATAGTAAAGCCTGTGTCTCTGATGGTCCACATCCATTTTGATCTTTTTTGTGATCTGTCCAAAAATCTGCTTCTAAATTTACACAGCTGTGATGTGGCATTGTGGTTATGCATTTGTTATATTTTATTGCTGACAGAATGTTGTACCTTTATGAACTGCTTAAATTGAGTACTTTTATAAATGTATCATTTGTAGGTAATATTAAAATAAAGGCAAATCTAGCGTTCTGTGTTTATTTTTAAATAGTAGTGCTGCTGAGGACTAAGGGCAAAGACCAAGAGGAAATGCTTGGTTAATGTGTGTGTTGCTTTCCATGGTGCTGAAACTTCTCAGGTCTGTGTTTTACTCAGTTTTGTGGTGTTCTAATTATTTTAGTGCCTTCACTGTCAGTGTGGTTTCTAATTTTCTAACCACATGTCACATTTTCCACTATGAGGCAATCACTGATTTAATGCTGTTTATTAATTAAAATATAAACTAATAAAATGAGTACATCTTAAGTCTACTACTACCACTACTACTAGTAGTAATAATAATGATAATGTAATGTTTTAATTGTCCCTATAGTGATATGTTAAGGGTGAATATATTGTTACAGTAATAGAACTTCAAATCAGCTTTACCAGTGCATTGCAATTTAATCATAAATGTGTTCCTAATGAAACTGTTAGCAACAACCTTTTACAACAGTGTGTGGTTTTATTTTATCTCTGACTTAGGAATCCATACCTGTAATCATAACAAACAGACATAATGATGTAATGGTTCAGGACTTTATTGAATAATGTGCAGTTGTGGTTTATTCATGGTGCTGAAAGGTACATTTTTATCATGCTTTATTAGGCAAATCATAATCTGTCTAAATTTTACGCCTTATATTTTTTTCTGACACTTGGTAAAATAAATAAACATTGGACTAACTATTTATGTATGGAATTTATCAATTAATTGGTAGAATGTATTTATTTCTTTACTTTATTTATTTAGTGGCACATTTCGCCTTCACTTCGGTAAAGAGAAAACAGTTTCAGACTGTGGAGAATATGCCATGGATGCATGTGTAGAGAGTGAAAAGCGACTCATGGTGCCGCTGTGCACTAGCACAGCAGTAGCACAAACATCTCCACCCACTGTTAATGCATTAAAATCAGTTGTCGTTTGTTAGAAGAATCCCTTAGTACAACCACCATATTTCATCGTGTTTGCTGCTGTTGGATTATTGACTGTATTTTGGATAAGATTTTTTTTGTTCAGAACATAATTTATACAAGCCGTGGACGTCTTTTTTCCAAGCATGACAGACAAAGGATATTCAGCATCAGGCCCGAGCTTCTGCTTTGCTTTCTTCATATTAACGTTGCACCTCGCTTATGGAGACTTGAGCTATTCCATTCCCGAGGAAATGAAACGAGAGTCTCTTATTGGAAATGCAGCTAAAGATCTCGGTCTTGATCTGAGGACCTTAGCTTCACGACAGGCTCGTGTTGATTTTGGGGGGAATCATAAGCGTTACTGTGAGATTAATCGGAGTACCGGAGATTTGATCACCTCGGAGAGAATAGACAGAGAAAGCCTTTGTGGCAAGAAACCCTCTTGTGTTGTTAAGGTAGATCTGGTGTTAGAAAATCCTTTGGAGCTTCATCGTGTAAGTCTTCATATTCAAGATATTAACGACAACTCGCCAAAATTCAAAAAACATTTGATTGAAATGGAAATAAGAGAGTCAGCAGAAAGGGGCAACCGCTTCTCTATTGAGGAGGCCCATGACGCAGATATAGGTCAGAATGCTGTTCAAAGATATACCCTCCAAAAGAATGACAACTTTATTCTCGCAGTTGACAGTAACAAGGTTGAACTTGTACTCGAAAATAAACTAGATCGAGAGAAACAAAAAGAGATGAATTTGCTTCTCACAGCTTTGGATGGCGGCTCTCCTCAGAGATCAGGTACCGTAGTAATACACGTCACTGTGCTGGATGCTAATGATAACGCCCCAGTGTTTAGCCAGGCCGTTTATAAAGCCAGTCTGCCTGAAAATTCACCATTAGATACTGTAGTGATTACTGTCAGTGCTACGGACGCAGATGAAGGAGTGAATGTATGATTTTGGCTATGGACCAGAAGACGATGAAAATGTTTTTTCTATTGATTCAAAAACGGGAGAAATAAGAGTAACTGGTGTGATTGACTTTGAAGAAAGGAGTTCTTTTGAAATGAGAGTGCAAGCTAAAGATGGTTTAGGGCTAACTTCGTACTCTAAAGTGATGATAGATGTTACTGATATTAATGACAATGCCCCAGTTATATACCTTAAATCACTGTCTAACCCTGTACCTGAGAACGTGTCACCAAATACAGAGGTGGGCATCATCAACGTGCAGGACAGAGACTCTGAGACTAACGGACAGGTCCGCTGCTCCATTCAACAAGGTGTCCCCTTTAAGTTGGTTCCTTCTATTAAAAACTATTATTCCCTGGTGACCACAGGACAACTGGACCGTGAACTGGTGTCTGATTACAACATTACAGTCACTGCCACTGACGAGGGCTCTCCACCTCTTTCCTCCTCTAAAGCTGTTCAGTTATCTGTAGCAGACATCAACGACAACCCACCTGTGTTTGAGGAACAGTCCTACAGCGCATATGTGAGTGAGAATAACAAACCTGGCTCCACTTTATGTTCCGTCACTGCTCGAGACCCCGACTGGAGACAAAACGGTACAGTGATTTATTCTGTGTTACCTGGTGAGGTGAACGGTGCCCCGGTGTCCTCCTATGTGTCTGTTAACGGAGACACGGGGGTGATCCACGCTGTGAGGTCGTTTGATCATGAACAGTTCAGGAGCTTTAAAGTCCACGTGATGGCCAGAGACAACGGTTCTCCTCCGCTCAGCAGCAACGTGAGCGTCAGTGTCTTCATATCGGATGTGAACGACAACTCTCCTCAGATCCTGTACCCCGCCCCGGAGGGCAAGTCCTTGATGACCGAGCTGGTCCCCAAAGCTGCGCACGGAGGCTCTCTGGTGTCCAAAGTGATCGCTGTGGACGCGGACTCCGGACAGAACGCCTGGCTGTCCTATCATATAGTGAAATCCACTGATCCGGGCCTTTTCACTATTGGTGTCCACAGTGGAGAGATCAGGACACAGCGGGACATTTCTGAGTCTGACAGCATGAAGCAGAACCTGATTGTGGCGGTGAAAGATAACGGACAGCCCTCTCTCTCTGCCACCTGCTCCATGTATTTACTGATTTCTGATAACTTGGCTGAGGTGCCAGAACTGAAGGACATTTCTTACGATGAGAAGAACTCCAAACTGACCTCCTACCTGATCATCGCGCTGGTGTGCGTGTCCACCTTTTTTCTGACCTTCATCATCATCATCCTGGGTGTGAGGTTTTGTCGCAGGAGGAAGCCCAGACTGTTGTTTGA